ACATACATACATACATACATACATACATACATACATACATACATACATACATACATACGCACATGCATACACACATGCATACATACATACATACATACATACATACATACATACATACATACATGTATACATGTGTGTACATGTATGTGTATGCGAACAATTGCTTCTTATTGTGTTTACCTGGGTTGTAGCTTTAAGGCACCAACAACGCATGTATGAAAGGTCTAGAACTCTTTTTTGCACCCTGGCTCTGATCCCGTTCAACTACCCAAACCCCTGAATTCGGAGCCCATGCTCCAAGGGCACATGGTATCCGGTCAATGAAGGCTTCGCTATCCCGCATGGATTTCCTGAGCTCTGGTTGAAGCCTACGGCCGGAAGACATCGCAACCCGAAGCCCCAAACCCTTCTGAATCCCCCGGCAAACTGAGAAAACCGAACCCTGTAACCGCACACACAAACCCACAAAGTCCTTTGATCAGGCAGGGAATCTCTGCGACGATCGTCCAGATCCAAAAGTCCTACAAGTTTCTCAGTTCCAATAAGGGCGTGTGGGTTGAGAGGTTCGGGGAACAGGACTTGAAATGTTGAGATGAGGAAAATTCCTTGGCCTTCGGCCCGCTTCCTTGCCACGGCGACTCGGGCCCTAACAACCCCAATCAAGGCCTAAACCCTGCCGGTTTGAAGCCTTACAACCCAATGCGAAACACTGGCCCACACTGCCCGAAGGCCCAACGAAACTCTTGGGTTTACGCTATCCTATATAAGCTTGAGCCTGAATTGCAAAACAGGGGGTTCTTTGACCAGGTCCCTACATCAGGAGTGTAGAGTTTCGATGACCAGACTATGAGGCCAAACGCCCATTTGGGCCAGCTCCTCCTCTGTGCCCATAGCACTGCGCCTCCAGGAAGCAACCTGCTGCGGCTGTGGAAGTCGAGGAAGGCTATGACGACTATTCTGGCTACCGGCACCAGTCTGTCCCGACGTTTCGGCTTCTTCACCGACTACTTACGGCTTAGCCACTGATGGTCTGGAGCTCAGCGGTTTGAGGACAGAGTTCAGGGCGTTAGCTCTTCGGGTGTGACAGCCTAGGAAGCCGCGCGTGAGGTGCTCCTCCCACTCCAGGCGCAGTGCCCGAAAGAGGCGGTAGTAGAGCCTGCACCACACGAGCGCAAGCTCCTAAACTATGTCTGCTGGGGCAGCTGCTAGTCACATTTCATTCTACTCCCTCAACCCTCAACTTGCACCCAAACCGTAGAATCCGAGCTCTGTCACTCCTGCGGTGAAAATGTGTGGCTTCTATGCTATGTTATCGGGTCTGACAGCACATGCGTTGGTTACGCAAAGCAGCGTCCACCCTTGAGCTTTGGCCCGGATCAGACGGCTTTCTGAGCTGTTGGCTCCCGAACCCGACCGCAAACCCGAGGTTGACCGTCCTCACTCTATTTGTACAACGCGGAAGCGAGAACAAACCCTTTTAGAACATATAGAACCCGTGACAGAAGCCTTTTTTTTGAAACATACATAGGGCCTAACCTGAATTTTAAGCCCGAACATGTTGCTCTGGCGCTCCAGCCTGTTCACTGGGCTTAGGAGAACAATGGCTCCCACGTACCTCAGGGTTTGAGGGTCCTTTCAGGGTTTAGGGTTTATTTTGGGCCTTGAGTCAAAGGCCCTGGGAACTATATGGTTTCAGAGTTCGGGGTTCGAGAACCTCCAAGCTTTCGTGGGAAGGCAGCCTAAGACTTCACCACGTTCGGTGTTGGGGTATACTATGTTACGCTATATCTATGTTTGCGTATACATTCAGTATGCATAGATAGATCGATCGATAGATAGATAGGTAGGCAGGTAGATAGGTAGGTAGGTAGGTAGGTAGGTAGGTAGGTAGGTAGGTAGGTAGGTAGATCTCTCTCTCTCTCTTTCTTGCTTGCTTGCTTGCTGCGGGCTCTAGAGCGAGGTAGCCATAGCCCCCCGCTCTGTGCGTCCAGCGCACAGCCACTGGCGTGGCCGAGGACAGCGGTCTCTCTTCTCTCTCTTACTCTCTCTTTCTCTCTCTT